CTGACTGAGGTGGCAAAGGAAATTCAAGCACCAACCACATAGGCACTAAGACAGAAGGAATACTTTATGTGGTCAAGGAAAACACTGAGAAGTGTTTATTTTAAGACATGTCTCGTTCAGCAGGGTTCCTTTTTTTTTTTTTTTAATTGAAGCCCATTCTCTTTTATACTCAAGGGGATCCAAACCCTGGGAATTTTAGTGTAACCATCAGACAATGCCTGCCACTGCATACCAAACAAGAATAGCCACGGAGCCAATGTATGGGTTGCTGTGCCTACAGGGCCAACAAGAATCACCTCATTTTAAGTGTGTGCCCTGCTGCCCTTATTGTTTTAGAGTAAATGACAAGGTGTCAGGGATACTAAGCTGGGGGGTATGGAGAATAAGCATCTTATGCTTTAGCGCAGAGCACTTCAACACAAGACTGAGACACAGAACAGACATCTGTTGTTGACGTGAAGCAGGAATGGCAAGCCAGACACTGGGTCCATCTCAGGGACTTCCAGGTGATTGAACAGCTCACTGCTGGGCAGTCCCTAGAGCTGGTGGTTAACAGCATGTCCGCCAGGGGAGGATGATGGCAAAGATCACAGTTAGGATCTTCTTCTTAGTGAAACATTATAGTAACCTCCTGCCTATGGGAAAATGGTAGGGAACAACCAATATAAAAATTAGAGGGATTATTTTATATAGAGTGAGAAAGAGACCCTACTCTGCCTTACCACCACTGCTAAAGGGGGAGGAGAGGGATGGGAAGGAGGGGGATGGCGAGGGGTCAGAGGAGGGGGGTGGGAGGGGAAGAGATGGAGGCTACAGCTAGGAAGACAGAGAGGAAGTGAAGGGGAATGGGGTGACTCCATGGATGTAGTGTGGGATGACTACCACTGCAGTGTGGAAGAGAAAGTATATGCTTCTGCACAGATTTTAATCTAGATGTAGTGGCTCTTGGACTTGTGGAACAAGATCAACACACTTCTGAGTAGAAAGACAAGCTGGGGAGTGGGGAAGTACCAGAGCAGGAAGAAAGCTCTCTCTCTAGACCAAAGAGGGCACTGAAAGTCCACTGAGGACCTCAGGTTCATAATGTCCTGGAGAACTGCCTAGTTGTGATGTCAATGAACTTGTCATGGCTCTCACTGCTGGGATATCTCTTGTACTTTATAATGCTAAAATAACAGGGTTCTCCCAGGCTTGGATAACATTAGACTAATCCTCTTTCAATTTCCTTAGTGGTAGGAAGGGGAGAAGAGCGGGGCCGTGGTGGGGGGGGGGGGGATTAAAAGGTTCCAGTGTAAAGCAAGAGAAAACTATGAAATGCTCAGAACTGCTCAACAGTCTTGAGGACTTACCACAGGCTGGAAGCCAAGATTTTACAGAAGCTTGAGTGTAATTTTCTCTACCAGCACTCAGGCCCCTGGTGTAGGCATGGAGAAGGAACTACACTGATCCAGAATTAGAATCTTTTTAGGTGGTTGCAACCAAAGGGCAAAAGCTCAAGGGATGTTGGCAAAAATTCAGCTTGTGTTTTAGATCAGTGGATGTAAACTACGTAAGATAAAAAGGAAGAATACAGAGGAAACAGGCTGCAGGCTGTCTTCTTAGAACATGCCAGTTGTATTTGTGATGTTCCAGCTCACAGGAGTAGGGCAATAACAAGATCTGGTCCCAGGCACCACACTCAGTGGACAGTCACTCTAGTTTTCTTTTACCACCACTGGCAAGACTCTTTAAAATGTTTCTTTAAAATATCAATTATAATGTCTTTTCAAAACCTTTGAGTGGGCTTGTGTCCTTTATTCTAACCATAGCAGCTAGCTTGGGCCTAGTGGTTCATAAAAGTAATAACTAAATAAATACATATGGTGATATACCATCCTTGGGTTCTTCTTGGTAGATAATGGTAGCCATTCAGGAGTATGACATGCTATGGGTGAATGTTAGTGATCTTCCCTCAGTCTCAACAACTTTACGAACAGATAAAAATGAAAGTAGGGGGCCGGAGATTTAGCTCAGTGGTTCCACCACCTACCTTGCAAGCACAAGGTCCTCAGTTCAATCCCCGGTACCAAAAATAAATAAATAAATAAATAAATAAAATGAAAGTAGGTTTCAGATTAAACTCTGGCATATGCACTTATTAAACAACCAAAACATGTTTTATCAAGTAGATACAAAATTGTTCATAATGTTTGGTGTGGTGGCTCCTACCTGTAATCCTAGCACTTGAGAGATTGAGGTAGGGTGATTACCACAAATTGGAGGCCAGGCTTGGCCACATAGTAAGACCCTGTCTTAAAAACAAAAATAAAAAAATACCAGTTTATAATTCTGAGTTCTAAATTCAGTGAACTCAATGAAATTCTAGCCTCTGTCATTTAAGTGGTCTTGTTACATCTTGCATGGAAGTCTTGCTACAATTTGTTGTCCTGGGAAGGGAACACAGCTATTCAGATCAGACTTCATGAGTGTCATCATCTTCTTATGCCCTAATCACTTCACCAATCCAATTTCATACAACTCATCTCATCAGTGAAATATCTATTATCCTTCTAAAATTACCAGTTTCATCAATAAAAATCCATTCTGCTGTGATGAAAGATCACTTAAAGTTTTCTAATTTTTCTGGCCATCACCTTCTTGTGAATTGGGAATATTGTGGTGTCAGATGCCAATATACACTGTATTCTTTAGCCCATGATTCTGTCATAAGCAAAATGTTTTGCCATCTAATTCAATAAAAGTCCACATTCTGCCTTAAAATCATACATTTGATGTTCGCTGTTCTTGTTTTGAGTGGATTATGAGCTAGTAATATGTCATTGCTGGGCAGTACATATAACACTCAAAATGTCATGGTTAGAACTGTATCAACCGAGGTTCTTATGTGGTGTGCTGAGCAGAATGTGAACCACTCCGACATTATTTTGTCATATCTGTCTCTGCATGTGAAGCATGAAAGCAGCCAAAGACAACATAGTCCCCAAAGTACAATGTTTGACTGCAGAAAAGTGGGGCTACCATGTGTGTATATAGTGTCTTCAAACAGAAACACACAAAGGACAGGTTATGTATTGATTCACTGCCATGAAGCAGCCAGCCAACAACCCTGTAACTCACACCTGAACAGTTCATCTAGGTGTATTCTCTCTATGGCACATCACAGCCTTCCTTATGCTTATGGTTTAAATCTAAAATGGACTCCAAAGCCTCACATGCTTGGAAGGCAATTAGACTGTGGAGGTTTTACAGCTGACTTGCTGTTAGGAGGTGGGTTCTGATCAGATCTGGAGAGGCAGTCACTATGTGATGAGCTGGAAGAGTGCATCTCCCTTTCTGGTTCTTCCCTTAACTCTGCTCCCAGTGCTATGATGGAGTCCTGCTTTGGAACCAGGGTCCATGGACTGTAAACATGAGCCAAATAAACTCCTTAATTTCTTGGTGTCAGGTATTGTCTCAGCACGGAGCAAAGTGACTAGGACAGGAAACCTAGACCATATTTCAGGATTGTGTTCGGAGGCCACTTTAAATGATGAAGTAATCTACAAAGAAGCACACAAAGAAAATGCAGCACGATATTGATCAGAATGACATTTGCTGAAACACATAAGTTAAAACCAGGAGGCAGAGCATCATCCTGCTGGATTTCAGATGGAAATGTATGCAAAGGGTGATTTAAATTGTTGTTCTACCCGTTCATAGGCTGGTCTGCTAATGATAACAAGAACCATGGATATTGAAATTTTAGTGAGGGGAGTTTGCAAATATGAAATTTATAAATGAAAATGAACTATTTATCTATATATATATATGTATGTTTGGTATCGGGGATCGAACTCGGGACCTTGCTCTTGCAAGGCAGGTGGTGGAACCAGAGCTAAATCCCCGGCCCTGAAAATCACCTATATTTTAAGTAAAATACTACCTTGTCAAAGAGAAAAAAAAGAATAAGTTCCAAAATTCATCTCTTAAGGCTTTGAATGTGAAGTGAGATAAAGATAAATGATTAGATTATTTTATTTTAAAATCTGTGTATGGTTATGACTATAATATTAAGTGGAAACTCCATTTTTTATTTGGAACTCAAAATAGAATACTTGTATTTGAAATATTTATAAGCTCAACTAACTTCTATAACATATTAGAATAATTTCTCATTTGTAGCAACCCATGAGATAAATTTTACATAGCATATAATAAGAAGCTGTAAATTTTGTCTCATAGATACGGTTTTATATTACTCCCACTCTCAGACAAATCCATCATTCACAGAATTTCCAGGAAGCTTGAAGTTAGAACTGGGTTACATTTCTCAAATTGTTTGTACAAAAGAGAGAACACACAGAAATGCAGCTGTGAGCAAATAAATGTACAGTGGATCCCTGACTTAGGAACTCAATGCGTTTCATGGGCTGGTTATAACTCAAAGTCAGTCAATTGAAGGCTCAGGCTCCTCCACACAGCTTTCATTCAAAGTCTCTCTCCTGTATACAGGCAGATCTTAGAGAGACATTGGCCCAGGATTTCTCAACCCCACACAAGAAAGGTTGTGAAGTTCATTCTAGAACTCTTTAAGGGTTAAATCTGTTATCTGAGCTGGGGATGTAGCTCAATGGCACTGATCCTCCCTGGCAACCACAAGGTCCTGAGTTTGATCCTTGGTACTGGAAAAAGAAAACTGCATCTGAGACCATTTGGAAGCACAACCAGCTGGCATTCGGGTTGTAACTCAAGACTTTGTTTATAAGTTAAAACTAAAATTCTGGTCATAACCTAAGTTGTTTGTATGTCAGGCTGGTTGTCTTCCATTTTCAAATCATTCTGAAAAGCTATAATTTGCCCAGAAGCCAAAAATCAAAGCTAAAGCAGATAAAATATTGCCTTTCCAATTCTCAACTAAGTACTCCTTTTCCCCCCAATCAAAATATAATCACCTGCTCAGGGATTCAAAGAGACAAAAACATGCCTGTGAAATCTTAAAATGAGGGTAAAAATACTGAGCATTTTCCGTAGCAACGTTTTAATAAAATTCTTGGACCTTTGGAAATCTAGCACAGATCTTTAAGGATATAAATTCTTTTTGCTGTCTCAGGATAATTCAGTAAGAGTGGTTACTCTTTTGGGACATTTATTTTTATTTCAGGTCTTTTCATCAATGCTTTTGTTCCAAAATGCCCAGAAGTCCTCAGTTTGTAAGACAAATCAGCAGTACAGGACAAGGTGGTTAAAGGCAAGGCTACCTTGCAGCACTCAGATGAGAAGTGAGCAGTCAAAAGGTAGTGTAGTCAATGGTACATGAGAAAATATGTTCTTTTTGTTATTCATTCTTTGGGACAGCTATGTCATTATCTCATGTTCACATTATAACAAAGCAACTGAAGTGTTGGGAGAACTAGGCAAGCCATGCAGAGGAAAGTGCTTCTTTAAACTAGCTGATTGATAACATTTGGAATTTTTTTTTCTAGTGGGGGGAAGACATTGACCAGGCCTTATAGATCCTTTGGTATAAATCAATCGGGATCAAAATGGTTTTTTAATTTATCGTTCTCAACTGGGATTGTAGATTTAAGTAAAACAGAAAGAGACTTTCTGAGCATGAGGGGCGGAAGACTGAGAAGAGAGGACCTTCTTTTGTAGAACTAATCCTTTCTCTCAGGGAAGTCCCTAGAGTCAGATTGGGAGCAAGACAGACCAGGGCCGGAAGATGATGCTTACATTAGGGAGTTGTGTGCATAGACTACTCTACTGCATGGATTTCAAGGCTTTTATTCCAGCCACACACTGGGTTAACCTCAATGCATGCTCCATGCGATTTCCCTACCTCAGAGTCACCAGAAGACCTTCAGGGGAATCAATGAAGGTCCTCAGAGTGTGAGCCCTCAAATTTTCTGAAGAGAAAACCACACTCAACTGTTTATCAGGTACTAAAACAGATCTATAACCCTCCCTACCCCATTCAAAATATTAAGAATCACCTCAATGATCCTCTTCCTTTACAAAACTGTAATGAGTGAGACTTTTTAGTACAATTTGACATGAGTTTCTGACCTCATTCACCAAAGTTCTGGCAACTCTAACAAGTCGTAATTTTCTTAACAGGGACAACACTTTGGTTCCATTGTTATACTCTTTTACAATAAGACATATTACATTTCTACCACTTAAAAGATTTTAACAGTCAAATATATCAGGCTTACATTATAACCCATAATCTTCAGAGTTTGTGATTTTAAAGCAAAGCAAATTAAACAATATCTGCATTTCTAAATCTAAATACATACAGGTAGTGACACCTGCAATTGTTTCAAAGTTACTGGAAGTTATGTCATTTTCTTAATATGAACTTGGCATAAAAGGCAGCAAAGAGGTCTTTATAAGGAGTATCTGAATCTGACTTGGTTGATGGTATTCGGCAAAGTTGGCGAAATCGTGGAGAACGTAGCAGCAAGTTCTGTGCAAGGCCCATGAGGCTGGAGCAAAACCAGTAGAGAGCAATTGACTAAAAAGAGAGGATATGAATGTTAGTGCTTCAAGAACACCTAAGTCCAGGGATAGACAGCCACCCCCAAAACAGAACTCTGGCTTTATTGTGTCTGAGAGAACAAACTTAGGTGTCTTAGATTCTTAGATGTTTTTTAGATCAGTAACTCACTTTGAATCCAACCCTTACAGAAAACACTATTGGCCCTATTTTATTTCATCTGTGTTTCTTCAGTTGTAACTGGCACTGTTTCTCCCCAGAAATAAAGTGAATCTGTACTGTTTCACCATTACAGGGTATTTTATGATACTACCATTATGTAAAAAGTACTGTAACAGGCACTTGATGTTATTTCATTAATTTTCACAGGCATTAGAGTATCTATTTCACAGATGAAGACACTTTTTTTTTTGACATTTATTTTAAACAGTATTAATAATAGTATCTATCTTAACTTCCAGAAGATGGCAGAGTAGTGGGCAGCAGAGAACTAGCCTCTCTGAGATTTGGTTTCCAGACACTGAAATATAGCAATGTGAGGAAGAAAAGGAGGAAAGTGGGTCCTTGTGACCCAGCAAGGATCTAAAGTGAGAACTAAAGTCCACAGGGCGAGTGAAAAGAAAGACTTCAACAAAAGAAAGGAGGTGACAAGCGGTGTTTTCTCCTGAGCCTAGACTCACTGCATGGGAGGGGGAGATGCACACTGACTACTGGCCACCCCAGAGGCCTCCACACAGAAATGCAAAGTGGAACAGAGCAGTGGACATGGTGGACAGCAGTGGCTGGGGAGTTATTCAGGTTCAGATGTCCCCATGGAGTAGAGCCAACTGAGCTCAGAACGCAGAACAGCTATAGGCTGACTCCATCTAGTGGCTCCCATTAAGGTTCCCAAGTTCAGGTTGGCAGGAGGTCAGGAGCTGAGTTCAGGCCAGGAGGAGGCATGTGGACTGTTGCAGGCTGAACAAATCTGGTTACAGCCTCACAGCTAAAAACCAGTGTGATCTTCAGTGAAACTAAAGGTGCAGGCTCCCTGGGATTATCCATTACCCTGCTGTATAGCTACGGTTGGTTTTCTGAGATCAGTCAACTTAGATTTGGACTCTGTCTACCCACATTATCTACCACAGATAGAAGAGACATGCCTTGAAGTAGGCAATTTTTTTCCTGCATTCTTTTTTTTCCTCTTTCTGGTTTTGTTTTTTGTTTGTTCTTATTTTTAAATGAGTGTGAATATGGATTCTAATTTTTCTGTTGTTGTGATGTTCTATTCTTTTTATTTTTTCCTTCTATCCTTGTCTTGTTCATCAGTTTCCCAAAGTTTGCATGATCTTCCTTTGTTCTCCAGGCTTAATTCTAACCTCTTTCTCTTCTTCCATTTCTTTATTTTTCACCCAGCGCCGCCCCCCAACCCCGGTGACAGGTTCTTGCTCTATACTTTAGACTATCCTTGAGTTCACTATGTAGCCTAGGCTGCCCTTGAACTCTCAGCAATCCTCCTGCCTCAGCCTCCCGAGTGCTGGGATCACAGGTGTGTGCCACACCTGGCAATAACTAAATTCTACTTAATGGTCTATGTGCTGTGAATAAAGATGGAGATGCACCTGAGACAATTCCTCCCTTCATAATAACTTCTAATGAATCTGCAGGCAATATGTAACAAACTGCAATAATTGCAAACAGAACCAACCATTCTTTGCTCTATTTTTGTCCAAATTTGAATTAGGTATAAATAAGGACAACTGCACCTGTCTCACAGCACTATAAGATTACATCACATGAACTCATACGGGCTAACACAAAGCTTTGTTTCTTTTTTAATACTAAATTCCTTGGTCCAGGCTACACAGGAAGAAAAAGGTCAATGTACCAATCAAATAGGGCAAATACTACATAGTACTGTGCAAGGTATTTTGCAAGATTAAGCGTCACTTGGTGACAGACAGATTAGTTCTCTCAGAATTTCGAAAGAAGTAAAGGATACAGCCGTCAAGGACGCTCAATGAGACAGGCAGTCAAAGCTCATGACAGAGGACTGAGCACATGCTACCAACCACACAGTGTTACTCACTGAAGGTACAGTTGCAGCAATTGGAATCATCAGTACTGACACAGCACGGACAAAGTACGTGATGTACATCTGAAAACGGGACATTCCATGTCTTTGTAGAGCAAAAATCTGAAGGGGTACAATACACACACACATAAAGATCATTAAAATTCATATTAAATTAGACAAACTTTAAGATACAAGTTGATTTTTTAGACCGGTTCCCACCTATACTTTAATAAAAATAAGAACAAACAAACAAATACATAGGACTGAGCTGTCATTCAGTGGTACCGCATTCACCTAACACCCACAAGGCCCTAAGTTCAATCCCCAGCATGGGAAAAAAATAGACAAATAATAAGTAAAATACTGATGAATTTGTGTGAGTGATTTGATTCATCTTTAAATAAAACTTAAACCAGGCACTGAAGCACATGCCTATAATCCCAGCACTCGGGAGGCTAAGGCAGAAGGATTGCCCTGATTCAAGGCCAGTATGGGCTACACAGTGGGCTCAGGACAGACTGAACTCCATACCCAGACTCTGTCTCATTATGTAGCCCAGGCTAGCCTGGAACCTGATCAGTGATCCTCCTGCCTCAGCCTCCCAAGTGCAGGGATTATATGCATGTGCTACTAAGCCCAGCAAAAAACCAAGATTTGCAATCTGGCTGCAGAGAGTAAAGGAAAAGCAGCTGTGACTCGTTAATCAGATGTTTAGATCACAACTCCAGAGCCAAGATGTGAAGGCATCCTACACTGTTAGTGGCTATATGACCTCATGCAATTTTAACTTTTCTGCGCCACACTTTCCCCTCCTTAAAATGGGGTAACAATATTCCTATATCTCTGCATCTCATGGGGTTATTCTAAGAATAAAATGAGTTAACTCATCTGATTTGTTTACAAAAATGCCTGACATACACTATCAGTCACCAGTCATGAGAGGGCAGAGGAAAAGATGAGAGTGCTGACAGCCATTCGTCCTGACCATGCTTATCACTTGGTTCTTTTCTACCAGTGATCCATAGAACGCCAGCCACATTCAGAGGCTGTGTCAGGCATGCCTGGGAAACACATTTAGAATTAAGGTCCAGTCCTTCCGTAAGACACTTTCATCCAAGACCTTAGATCTATCATTCTCATTTTCCACATCTGAAAAAATATGGTACACATAAAAAAAACCAAGGAACACAATACATTTCCCAAACAGGACTGATGGACAGGAGGTCTGTGAGATTTCAACTGAGGTAAATAATTTCTAAAATTTCTTCCAGGTCAGTGCAACGTCTATGCAGTCTGAGAACAGTGCTTTATTGAATTACAGGTTTGTTTTTCTTAAAATGTTGAGCAAGCAGCAGCATGGGTAAGAGGTGACTGAGAAGTTATACTTTATGCATGGATTTCTCTACTTCATTTATAGACACTCAGTAACTTTTCTAAGGTCACTTAGCAAGAAAATAGCAAAGAGGTATGACTATTCATACACTAATAAACATAATCGTAAAATACCACTCTAGTATCGGAATAAAGCTGGATGGATCAGGGATCTGAATTACTATCTTTACCAAAAGCAATTAGACTAAATGTTTTAGCCAGGCACGGTGGCTGGCACCCTGAGAGGCTGAGCAGGATTGCAAATTCCAGCCCAGCCCAGACAATTTAGCAGTTTAGTCAGATCTGCCACAAAGTAATACATTACAGGGCCAGCCGGGGATTTAGCTCAGCGGCATGGCACCTGCCTGGCAAGCACAAGGTCTTGAGTTCAATCCCTGGTACCAAAACACACAAACAAAAACATTAGAAAAGGGCTGGGCATCTAGTTCAGTGCAAAGGTCCTGGGTTCAATCCCCAGTACAGGGGGATGTGCATATTAAAATAATGTAACTTTAGAGCTGAAAGAAATTCTGGTAGTCTCTTTGGAAGTCAGTGCTCATTTCTTAATTATGAGAATTCTGAGACACAGAGTGTTTAAGGTACAGGCCTAGATCAGGGCTGATTGAAGGCCAGAATCCAGGAGTCTGAATTATACCACCAACTCAAATATATGTGTATGAGGCCAGAACAGCAATAACAACAACAAAAAAAACGGAGGGTTAGGGATGTAGCTCAGTGGTAGTGTTTGCCTGGCAAATGTATCACCCTGGTTTCAATCCCCAGCACCAAACAAAACAAACAAATTTCATTTCAAAGGGCTGCGGGTTCCTGGCAAGCGCAAGGTCCTGAGTTTGATCCCCGGTATTGCAAACAAAAAACAAATTTCATTTCAAACCACTGACCTCCACTATCAATAAATTGACAACACCCACAGAGACGGGCAGAATCCAAGTAGAATCCAATGCAGTGAGATCAGGAAACCAGAGAACTCCACCCGTGGCTAACTGTTCCTGAACAGAAAAACCTGATGAAACAGTTTTATAAATAAAATAGAATTCCCAAAACAGCACAAGCATAAAAAAAAATAAGCAATTCCTATAAGGCGTCCCTCGCACTGAACATCTGCATTGGTTTTATTCAAGTTATTTTTGTTCATATAGATACCCTCCCAAAAAAACCCACAAGATGTTTTTCTCAATACAGCTAATCATTTTACACTTAAGATTTTAAATTCTATACCCTTTTTTAGTGTATGTGCTGCCTAAGTGAGCACAAATTCTATGCCTTTAAAGGAAGATACCAATTATAGAAACCATGAAGCCGGGCATAGTGGTGCATGCCTGTAATCCCAGCCCTTGGGAGGCTGAAGCAGGATTACCACGCATTCAAGGCCAGCCTGGGCTACATAGTGAGACCCTGTCTCAAAACACCCCTACAAAAAACAGAAAGAAACTATGATTATTTTTTTCTTCCCTGAAGTATAACAATCTTGGAGACCTCATTTTGGAGAAGACTTCCACAATAGTTACCTTCTGAATGTGTGGCCCCTGTACTCAAATTCCGGAGGGCAATAGACATGAAGATCCACATTGGAAGTTGAATCCAGATCAACACAGTGGCTTTGAAAGGGTGACAGTTATCCCGAACATACAGCTCTGAAACAAGCCTTCTCATATTCTTTAGATAAGTAAGCCTAGATTGAGGGAAAAGGAAAAAAAGGAAATGAGAAAATTTCATTTAACTACCAGTAGTGCTTCATCCACACAGCACAAACAGACTCCTGCTGGCCAGCTAGGTTTTACCGGGGGAACTATCACCACTGCCATGCTATTGACTACAACTGCTATCAGTCACTACCTGAAAGCATACTGCACTCTAATCTCTGCAAGCTCGCCAAACTTGAGCACTAAACCTCTTCCTGTATTTTTTGTAGCAATGCATTTCTGTCCTGGAACACACACCAGCGTGTATGCTCTCTTGCACCATCAAAATGGTCTACACTTTCCAATCTGTTTACCACATTAGTTACTTCTATTCTTGTCTTTAGTCTCAAAGATCAAGCGTTCAGTCTTACCTTTAACTATCTTACATGATGCATTTTGTACAAGGCAAGCAGGCAATCACCTAGTTTTGCTGTATTTAACCAAATTAGAGTGTAGTGAATTAAGACAGTATACACTATAGGCCCTTCTATTCTTCCCAGCTTACTTCCTGTTACTTCTCTAGAGACACCTGCATATTCTGGTCCCTGAATGAATTTAGGTCTCCAACAGATCAGACTTCCACATCAGCACACCTCTGGAAGCATATGATCTAACAAACTGTTTTGCCCTTTAAGGCAACAGGCAGGAAGCCAGCCCTCAGATGTGCCTTCCTCAAAATCTGGCCACCTGTGTAGTGATATATATGGATAGCTTTTAACGTCATAAGGTACTTTATCCACTGCCACCATCACTTGATTACAACTCTTTCTTGTGCAGTGGGTTGGAGTCCGTCAAATACAGGAACAGTGCTGGATGTGGTAGTCTCTGTAGTTAGCAGGCAAAGGCAGAATGATCACTTGAGCTCAGAAGTTTGAGACTGCTGGGTGTGGTAGCACATGCCTGTAATCCCAACACCTAGGAGGCTGAGTCAGGATAATCGCCATGAATTTGAGGCCAACCTGGGCTACAAAGTGAATTCAAGGCCAGCCTGAACTACACAGCGAGACCCTGTCTCAAAATAAAAGTTTGAGAATAGTCTAGGCAAATGAGCTACATGCAATCTCAAAGAAGGGCATGGTGGCACATGCCTGTAATTCTAGATACTCCAAAAAGGCTGAGGCAGAATTGCAAATCTGAAGCTAAACTAAGCAGCTTACTGAAACCTTGTCTCAAAATCAAGTTTCCTTAAAAACAGAAGAAAGAAAAAAAGAAAAGTTTCCTAGGGGTGGGGATGTTGCTCAGCAGAACACTTGCCCCGCATGCAAAAGGCACTGGGTTCAATGCCTAGTACCACAAAAGCCACAGAACAGGAACAAGTTCTTATCTTTGCTTCTATTTCTTTTCTTTCAGCCCAATATGTAAAACTATTGTGCTTTAGTAGCATAATATGCAATGAAAGAGTAAAGGAACAAATTTCTTGCCAAATCTACAACATACAGAACATCTCCATTTTTGCATAAAATTACTTAACTGGTAACTCTTTTGGACCACCCCAACTGTCGAGCACAAACTGCAACTTCTTGGTTAAGACTCTTGGCAATGTTTTTTATTTCTGGTTGCAAATTTTCCACCTAGCTAAAGAAAAAGAATTTATGAGCACATAAAGGATTTTTATTCCACAACTACATATAATTTTAGTCTCTTATTCTCCCAGCTCACTTAAAAATGTGGCTTATCATGTCAAGAAATTTTAAACTGGGTATGACACATGCCTGTAATCCCAGCACTAGGGAGGCTGAGGCAGGAGGATCAGATATGTATGGCAACACCTACTCCATGGAGTTATAAAGATTAAATGAAAGCTGCATCCTGAGCTTTACTGTTCTCTCCCTAGATTTCCCAGTACCATAAATGGAGAAAATAACATTCTTATGCTTTCTTATGCTGTGACAGCCACTGAACCAAAAATAAAAATATCAAAAAAAAATCCAACAAAAAATAAAAATTTCATTTTTTCCTGCCCTGTGCTAAATCTTTCTGCCTTCATGCTAACGGATTTCCTTCCTGTTGTATTCCTCCATTTTTAAAAATGACAATGATTTTGAAAATATGAAGGCCTCGCTTTCTGAAATCCTAACATTTGAAAAACTCTTTATTGTCCTTGTTTTCAAATCGCTTTAACCTTTGCTCTTCAATATACACAAATATAGTTAAAATAGGCAAGTAAAGTATTGCCACACTGAAACTACAAAAAAAGGAAACGAGGCCCTTCACCCCCAAATTTAATAGAGGGCGTGGTGATGGCTCAGCTTGTAATCACAGCACACTGGGAAACTGAGAAAGGAGGATCACAAGTTCCAGCCCATGTGACTTGAGATTGTATCTCAAGAAAAAGGGATGAAAATGCAGCTCAGTGTGAAAGCCACGGGTTCAAGGCCCGGTACCGGAAAAAAAAAAAAAGTCGGCGACCACCTCTAAGCAGACATAGGATTGCAGGTGACAGGAAAAGGTTCTGAGTAAGAAATCAAGTTTAGCTGGAAGTGGTGGCACACGGCTATCTTCCCGGTACTCGGGAGCCTGAGGGAGGAGGATGGCCTCGAGTTCGAGGCTACCGTGGACTACACAGTGAGTTCAAGGCCAGCCTGACTGAACTGCATGGCGAGACCACCTGCCTCGCAAGCGCAAGAACCCGAGTTCGATCCCCGGGACCAAAAAACAAAAACAAAAAATACCAAGGCTGCAAACTGATAGCTGGTTTTGTTTTTCTGAGACAGGATCTCGCTAAATTTCCAAGTCGCCCGGCCTAGCGTCCCGGAGTGCTGAGGTTACAAGCTCGCGCCACCAGTCCTGCTCATGGTCCAGTATGGAAGTCCGGCGGGGTACCTCGGGGCAACACTGGCGGGGAACTGTCTGTCGTAGACGGTAACAGGACACAGGTTTCCCCACCCGAGCCTGCCGAGTCCCCGCCGAGGAAGGGCAGGGTCCGTGCCCAGCGCACGCCCGGGGCGGACGCCGGCCGCCCGCTCACCTTGGCCAGGACGCGGTGCTGGTAGATGGCCAGGGGCAGCGTGACACTGCCGCGCAGGCCGGCGGCGGCGAGCACGATGCTGCCCCACCAGGGCAGGCCCAGGGCGGCGTGCGCGCCTAGCAGCGCCCCCTCCGCCGCGCGCACCGGCGCCGATGCGGCCAGCGCTTCGTACCAGCCGCCCGCGGCCGCTGAGGGGCCTGCGGCCACCGCCCACCACGGAAGCGCGGGACGCTGGGCCCGGAGCGACAGGGCAGGCAGTGGCCAACGCCACGGACCGCGGAGGTAGCACAGCATGTCGACTGCCGCTCCGAGCCAGGGCCTCACGCGATCCGCACAGCCCGCCCCCCGCCCCGCGCAAGCCGGGACGTGTGCGTCGCGGTGCGGTGACGCGCAGACAGGAAAGCCCCGCCCCTCCGCGTGGCCGCCTGCTCGGGCTGCTGGGCGGGTCGTCTTCGCTGAGAGCGTGCGCGGAGAGGCCTGCCGAGTCCTCCCGAGATCCTGGTGGGGTAGACCCGGGTTCGCGCCGGCTCAGCTGGTGCCTGGCTACGTGTACGACTCGGGCCTCAGCACGGCTGCTCTACGTCTTTCTGTATGTCGATCAGCGTGGGTTAGCATCTACAACTTTGATGTTTTTGTATTTAATTATATATGTAGCCAGAATCCTACATTAAGTAATGATAGGACCAGGTGTGGGCTCACGTCTGTAATCCCAGCACTTGGAAGGCTGAGGCAGGAGGATCGTACGAGTTAAAGGCCAGCCTGGCCAGAGACCCATTTCAAAAATCCAAAAAATAGTAATAAGGTTAAGACTGGGGCTGTAGCTCTGGTGGAGTGCTTGCTTAACATGTGCAAGGCCCTTGGTTCAGTCCTCAGTGCCAGAAAGAAGGTATGGAAGGGAAGGAAAACCTGGGCAACTTGGGGAGACTGGGTCTCAAAATGAGAAGGCATAGAAGACCAACACCAGGGCTCACTAGTGTGAGTTCCTCTGCACTGGCGGTGTACTTTTATTTTTGCCGTTACATTTTCTATTTTTCGGCCCAAGTTTTTGCTGCAGAGCTGGTTTCTCCCATACCCATTTACCCCTCACTTTTCAAATAAGCGTTTGGCACCATTTTTGGCTTCTCTCATCCAATTCTTTGTTCGGCAAGGAGCTGGAATACTTTTGTTTGGCGAGCTATTTCTAAAGGAACTCTCCAATAGCAGTTCAAAAACAAACATGCCAAAAACAAAATCCAGATAAATCCGTACTTTAATTTTAAATTACATAAACACCACATATATGCTATGGAAAGCTTTTTCTAAAAGAAAACAACCTGCCAATCTACTATATATTCTTTGTTAAAAAGACAGCCAGGGCCGGGGATTTAGCTCAGTGGTGCTGCAAGCACAAGGTACTAAGTTCGATCCCCGGTGTGGCAAAAAAAAAAAATAATAATAATAAAGACAACGAGCTGGGCATGGTGGCTCACGCCTGTAATCTCAGCAGGAGGCTGAGGTAGGAGTGTTGCCAGGAGTTTGAGGCCAGCCTGGGCTACACAGCGAGTTCAAGGCCAGCCTGAACTATAGAGCGAGACCGTCTCAAAAATCAAACAACCTAATTGCTATTGTCCACTGACTTAAAAGTAGAAAGGAGAATTCATTTGTTTGTTTTTTGACAGGGTGTCACCTCACTTTGTAGCCCAGGCTGGCCCTGCACTCTCAGCAATCCTCCTGCCTCAGCCTCCCACATGTTGGGATGACGGACATGTGCCACCATGCCCAGCTAAGAATTCAATTTTAAACAGAAATTTCTTTGCCCAAAAACTGTATAGGAAAGTATGTAGGAAGTGAATTCTGTGCTTCTGCATTCTCTGTAAAGATTTGGCCCTTTTAAAGTAGCATTTAGCCTAGACCAGTGTTGGCAAACCTTTTAGAGCTTTCAATGATCGCAGCCCTCTAAGGCACACATGCCATAGGTTTCCCACCACTGGATTGGATTCTGACCTTAATATCCAGCAGAGAGGAAAGCTGTTTAAAAACCAAAGCTGGGCATGGTGGCGCCTGCCTGTAATCCCAGTACTCAGGAGGCTGAGACAGAAGGACCACAGTGAGTTTTAGTCCAGACAGGGCTACACAGTGAGTTCAAGACCAACCTACAACTAAAAACAAAAATAAGCCCTCAAACTAAACATTCGTATTTACAGCTCAGGGATATAGGTCAGTGATAAGACCACTGGCCTTGCATACACAAGACCGAGTTCAACCCCAGTACAGCAAAAATAAAATACTAATTCATATTTATGGTTAAACCAAAACGTTTTTGATATATATATAATAAATTTTATTTTATCGCATTACCCCTAACCCCCCTCCCCTATGTACAAAAGCTTTGTTTCCATTTTTTTCTATTTTCACTTTTTTTCTTGTCCCTTCCTTTGCTACATATTTTTAAAGTTCACATTATGCACTTGTTGCTCATAAAATATAAACCAAAAGTTTTCAAGCTCTTCTTTAAATCCCAAACATGTCATTCTGTGGAGCTGTCATCAGCCAAGCCTGGGCTTCCTTGTTTGGCATGGGTCCATTGTTGACCTTCTGTTATACACTGCGGGCGCTATTACATTCCCCTTTAGAAAGGTATCCTTTAGGTCTCAAATTATGACCTGAGTAAAATGTGTAAAACTCAACTAATGCTGCTTTCGCACATATGGGTATACTTTTTTTTTTGTCTTGCTATGTAGTTCAGGCTGGCCTCAAACTCACTGTGATCCTCCTGCCTCAGCCTTCCAAGGAGTGAGATTACAAGCATGCATCACCACAACTGGTTTGGGTATAAACACATTTCTCCTCATATGGTGGGATGATCAGAACTTGTTATCTACTAGTTAGATAATGTTGGAAGTACCTTAAGTTAGAGCCCAATACAAAAAAGTGTTATCATGGGCCAGGGATTTAGCTCAGTGGTTCCCCGCCTGCCTCACGAGTGCAAGGTCCCAAGTTAGATCCCTGGTACCAAAAAAAAAATGTTATCACGAATGTCTATGTACTGGTCATCCGACATTGAGATCTTGTATCTTTTGAGTCAGTACAATATAAAGTGTTCATATAAATATTTGAGCAGGCAAATATAAATCATTTTCAACCCTAATAGTTTGCAGATGAACTTGTGCAACACAATTTTTTTTTTTTCCTTGAGACAGAGTCTCACTATGTACATCAGTCTGGCCTTGAACTCACTGGGTATCCCAGCCTGGCCTGAACTCACAGTGATCCTCCTGCATCAGCCTCTTGAATGCTGGGGTAACAGGCACATGCCAAATGCCTGGCTTATAAAACATTTTTTAAAAATCAGCACTTATAATTAGCTTATTCTTATCTTTTAGTTACATCACAAACTGAGTTCCTTACAAACAGTGACAATATACAGAATGGTTCAACTTAGTTTTTGTTTGGTACTGGGGATTGAACTTGGGACCTTGTGCTTGCATGGTAGGCGCCAGAACCAGAGCTAAATCCCTGGCACTCGGCTTAGTTTTTAGGATGGTGTCAAAGTGATACCCATTCAGTAGAAACCATCCCCGGAATTATTCCTTGGCTAGCAGCAACCCAGAGCTCCCAAAGTAACCTGGCTCAGAGGTAAAGCACACCAAGGCCCCAGGCTCCAAGCCCAGCACAAGGCAAAACTCCCCATTCCTGAATAAAGCTGTACAGTGCTGTTGCTGAACTATGATGTTTGGTAGATGTATTAAATGTTTTTTTCCTTGTGTGTGTGTCTGGTACTCTGGGCCTTGGTACTGAGCTACATCCTCAGTTTTTTTTTGGTACCAGGGATCGAACTTGGGTCTTTGTGCTTGTAGGGCAGGTGGCAGAAACACTAAGCTAAATTCCCAGCCCTCTCAGCTTGTTTTGTTGAGATGGGGTCTAAGTGACTAAATTGTGCAGGCATCCAGAAGTGCTGAGATTACAGATATGCACCACCCTGCTTGCCGGGCTCTTAAAGGGCATTTTTCAATTTGTTTACTAGGATGTAGCCGTATTATAAATTAAGAAGAATTTAGATTGCATTTCCTTTCTGCAGTCTTTGAACCTGTTCATAACTATCATGGTGCTGAACACAGGAATGAAGTTTGCAATGGACTGAATGTGCTCTTTCAAAATTTGTATGTTAAACCAGGTGTGGTGATGCATGCCTGTAACCCCAGCACTCGGGAGGCGAAGGATCATGAGAGTTCCACGCCAGCCTGGGCTATATAAAAAGACCAGCCGGAACTACATGGCAAGACCCTGTCTCAAAAAACCAAAGAACAACAAAATTGTATGATGAAACCCCAATTCCCAGAATGATAGTATTTAGATGTAAGGTCTTTGAAAGGTAATTAGGTTATAAAGGTGCAGCTTCCATGAACTGGATTAGTGTCCTTGTAACCCAAGAGATGTCTCTGCCCTGTATGAAGAAACAGACAAGCACCTGGAAACCAGGAACAAGGCTCTCATCAGGAACTGAACAGGCAACAATGCTGATACTGGATATCACAGCTTTCAGAACAGAAATAAATTTACACCATCCAGTCAGTATTTTTGTTACAGCAGACTCAACTAAAGTGCTCAAAATTTGAATATATATTACTATGTACGGTCATTTTAGATTTTACATTTCCCAAATATGTCTTCTGAAATGGTTGTCAAAAAAACTTAAGTTCAAGACCAGCCTGAACTATACAGACCTTGTATCCCCACCCCCCAAAAAAAGCCTTGTAAATTATTTTTATGAACAATTAATCACTTAATCACTTAGGTTTCTTTTTTGAGGCAGAATCCCACAGTACAGCTAAAGCTGACCTTGAACTCAATGTGTAGACCAGGCTGGCCTCAAACTCATAGCAATCTTCCTGCCTTAGCCTCCCAAGCGCTGGGATTACAGGTAGGCACTACCATGTCCAGCCATCTTTTTCTATTTTTTTAAAGCACTATTTTTCAAAGCTAAAGTTATCTAATACAGAATTAGGTGTTCTCCCTTTATATTAAAAATCATCTTCTTATGTCATCTTAATGATTTCCTAGTATTGAACATGCAAAGTTTGCTTTTTTTAAAAGTGTAAATTCTTTTCAAGGTAGAAGTCTTAACACCTTCATTAGTCCTACACTCATCACATTATAAAGGAAGTGTATCAATGCTACAGTGGAAATTTTTTATGAGCAAGCACTTATCACCAAGATGTGTACTTCAGGAGCATAAAGAATTTACCCAGTATAACCTAAATATACCCAACATTAATTCTGATTCTAAAATTTCTTATATAAAAAATAGTTCTGGCAGAGGGCCGGGGATTTAGCTCA